CTTCCATTTTGCAGCTGTTTAAACAATAAGCCCAAGCGTTTAGCTAAATTCAAGTTTCTAAAACAAAAACAAATTAGTAATATAATATAAAATAAAAGCAAAGACGAAAAACAGCTGAGCAAAAAAATAACATGTGACTTTGGGGAGATCATCGGCAGAGTACAGTGAAGCCTGCTTATCTTTAATCAATGGAATTTTAGGCACACAAACAACACACATTTAACATTCAATTATCATTGATGATATGCCATTGCTATTAATTCCCCATAATATTTCCATTGTATATATGTATGTATATATATAAACTCTGTATAAATCGCCTTTTCAAATCTTTATTGGTCCATCTAGCCGGTCGATAGATGCAAAATAAAGATTATAAACTATTTATAAACCGTTTAATTCGTTTCACAAAAAAAAAAACAAGAAAGAAAAAGAAAATAAAAACCTTTAAAATTCCTCAACAAACATTTTTCGTCTTTTCTTTTCTTTTTCTTGCTTTTTTGCATCCAAAAATATCTTAAAAGGCATCGAGATAAAAACTGTTTATAATTTATACACAATTTATTATTCAATAATTCGAAAATGTAGTGTAAATGCAACACAACAGGTTGCTCTCTCTCTCTCTATTCTCTTTTCACTTTTAGAAAAAGTATCTGTGAGATCATTTTTCCTTCAATAAGTATCTTTTAGATGATTTTTCTTATATGTTCATAAATTAAGTATCTTTTAGGGAATTTTCGTATAATAACTTGATCATAACAGATGTATCTTTTAGAAGATTTTCAAATTAATAACTTTATTATAAAAGGAGTATCTTTTAGATGATATTCACTTTTTTATTTTCTAAAAAAATATGTATCTTTTTGAAGATTTACCTGAATAACTTAATCATTAAGTAGTATCTTTAAGAGAATTTTCCACTTAAGAAATTTCTCATAAAAGAAGTACCTTTTAAATGATCTTCCTCTTATTCCTTTCTTTTATTAAAAAAGTATCTACTAAACGATTTTTCCCTAGAAGCTGATCATTAAAAAAGTATCTTTTAGATGATATTACCCCTTAATAACTTCGTGATAAAAAATGTATCTTTGAGAAGATTTTCTCTTAATAACTTGATCATAAAAGAAGTATCAATTGTTCAACCAATTGTTCATAAGATAAGTATCTTTTAGATGATTTTCCCCCTTAATAACTTGATTACAAAATAAGTATCTATGAGAGTATCTTCTTCCTAACAACTTATCTTTTAAGAAGTATCTTTTCAAAGATTTACCCTTAATTACTTGATCATAAAATTAGCACAGCAACAGCTGTAGAAGAGATTAAAAGACTGTGAGTAAATCCTGTTTTAAATAGTAAAATAAAAAATATAATAAAACAGCTAAACAGCTGCTGTTGCCATCCCCTCTTCGAAAACCGAAATCAAAATCTAAATCGTTATCTCTACCCACCAACCCCCCCAGCAGAGCCAAGTAAAGAAATAACAAAAAAACATATTTTTTCGCCTCAAATCAATGGCTAAAAAAATAAAATTAAGGCAGGGCAGTAAAAGGGGGGAGGGAGGTTGCAAAACAACACACACACGACCAGAACAAGAAATAAAAAAGACATCCACATCGACAACATGAGAGACACGCCTCCATTTTGGTCACAAATTTAGTGAATACGCACACAAGTCTTCTAAATATATATTTATTTATATAAACATGTATTTCAATACATATATTCCGGTGTATTTGAACGCAAAAGAAATCATTTCACGAGCTCAATATATGTAGCATGTTTTGTTGGCTTTGATATTTTTGGAAAAGTGTGTGTTTTTTTGTGCTTTTTTGCCCTGTCATCCGTTGAATGAGACGAGAAGCGCGTGATTGTCCCACGAAATGACAACAGCAACAATTTTGGACCGGGTAATCTCTGCTCCCAAATCCCCAATTCCCCAAATCCGATCTAGATTCGGATTCGACTCCCCCATTAAGGTGTGTGTATATATAATTATTATAGAGTGTAAAATAGTGATGTGATCTATAACTATATAGTTTTATTTGTTGAGATGGTTTTACTCCACTAAAGATGGATTTCCAGAAACCATTCAAGATTTAAGCACCTTAAAACAAACTCTATAACTATATAATTTGTAAAAGCTATTTAACTATTATAGCTTTTTATAAATTATATAGTTTAGAGCACAAATATATGTATATATACAATAAGTTCAACATAAGTTTAGAACCTCTCTGTTTTTGAATAGCGTAACTCATCTTATTGTTATATTTTCCTTTGAATATACTTTGCTATAATTTAATTTTTAAACTGTCAATTACTCTTTTAATTTTAAAACTTAGTGAATAACCTTTTCTATTTCCCTCTCTTCTTTTAAACCACATTTTTAGTTGAGCGTAACTCATCTTATTTTTATATTGCCCAATTTCCTTCTTCCTATAACTTTAAATTAATATTTTTCTCTGATTAAAACTTTGAATTTAGAAACTCACATTTCTTCTTCTTTAACTTCAATCCAACTAGAGAACCTTCCTAGGTTAAACTTAACCCAATTTTTCTCTCTGTATAGGCCCTATTATCAGCCCCAAAAGGCTCTATCAGCCATATTCTTATCACTTAGCATCTGTGAAAGCTGCAAATCATTTATACGACTCTGGCCGGATGGAAACTGAGACAGCAAAACATTTGTAGCTGTTGTTAAATGAGATGAGTTTAGGGAAAGACGGAAGGGATGGGGAAACTGAGGCTGGAAATGAGACTAAAACTGAGACTGGAACTGAACAAACAGGTGACAAGCACGCTGCGACATAGTGCCTTCGCTGTGTGCCATAAAGTACTTTAAAAATAATATATATTGTAATGCAAGGGGGGCCCTTTGTTATTTTTCACAGAGCAGTGTTATTAACGCTTCGCTAAACTGCCACGGGTACAAGATTCCAAAATGATGCAACACAAACAGTAAACACAATATGTAATAATGAAGTATGTAAGAGCAAAAGTGTAATTGGAAACCCTACTTAAATAACATCTTTTAAATATAGAACAAAGATTACTGTCATAATTATATTGAATTATTTTTGGTCAACTCATTTTTCCTGTCATCTTTTGCGTATTTAATACGAAGTAACGTGGACTCTTTTGTACTATCAGACACGTTTTAAGTATGTATATTATATATTATACACATATGTTTTTAATCCAAAGTTTGCCAGTCATAAAGTATAATGTGTAAAGTACGAGAAAGAATCAACATGAGCTAATGGCATAAATCAGTGCTGTTGCCCTGAGCTCCTCCTTTTCTTATCAAAGAAGCAAGGAAAATGCAACAACTGAACAAAATATGGCCTGTTGTAGAGAAAATTCCCAGTTTTTTTCCGTCTTATCTTCCTTTTTTTTACAATAAAGACAAGATCGCCTTTTATATGGGCAATAAGCACAGAGAAGAGATCCCTGAACATTTCCGCTCAGATATATAATTTTTGCCTTTTGTTTTATCGCACACAGAGAATGAGATGGAAGGAAGAACAAAAAAATATAATAAAACTTGACAAAGCTATCATAAAAGTGCACTCGTTCAATGACCCATATACATATATGTATAATAAATCCCATAAATTATTAAAGTACTTTTCCAGGAAGTAAACAATTGTCATTCCCATAATTTCATTCATAAACGAATCAAGAATTTTCACACACAAATATCACGAATCACTTATCACTTTCCATTTAAATCCCCGAAAATTTTCCATACCCAAAAGAATCATCATAATAATAATACTTATCTACGTGAATATATATAAATATGTGTGTGTAAATAGAACAATCTCACCCGATAATCATCAGGAGAAGCGAGTTTTTTGAGGAATTTCTATCCATTCATTCAACACTTACCTGGAAAGGGAAAGAAAAAAGGAAAATTTGTTAGTAAATCATGTTAGGAAAAATAAAATATATACTATATAAAGTTAATCTAAACCTTGGCTAAGCAAAAGTCTTGGCTGTGTATGTATTTTGGAGTCAATTATCTTTACTAGATACATTTAGGCCAAAATTGTTTAGGCCTTGAATGTGAAATATGTAATAGTTCAAAATTATATATAATTATATAAACATTTACTTTTAGTTAATGGTTTCAAAATTATGCCTCATACAATATATAATTTACAGCAGTTTTATGGCTACAATGATTGAATTTAAATTGATTTAATTGACACTCTTTTTTTTTTAAATAATTATCTATGAGTAATAAAGTTTTCCACAAGAAAATTAATAAATTATGAGAGGAATCGTTAATCATTAATAGATAGCTTCTGGTTCAGATTTTATCTATATTAGAGATTTAATTGCCTTTCTGTATTTTTTATTAATAATTATATATGATTAATAAAGCTTTCCGTAAGGAGGATTCATTTATTAAGCAATTTCTAGGGGAAATAATAAATTATGAGGCATATTTGAAGCAACTCCTGGTTTGTAATAGATCATAATAATATCAACATCTTAAACCCTTTCAAAACCAATTTCTATATGGTTTTTTAAACTATTTCACAAGCTTTTGATCCTATATAATTTTCCCTATTCTTTTAAACATTAATAAGAGTAGGTTTACCTAAAATGTTCTTAAACTTTTGCACCTCTTTGATCCTATATAATTTTCCCTTTTCTTTTAAACATTAATACGAGTAGGTTTACCTAAAATATTCTTAAACTTTTGCACCACTTTGATCCTATATAATTTTCCCTTTTCTTTTAAACATTAACAAAAGTAGGTTTACCTAAAATGTTCTTAAACTTTTGCACCACTTTGATCCTATATAATTTTCCCTTTTCTTTTAAACATTAATAAGAGTAGGTTTACCTAAAATGTTCTTAAACTTTTGCACCTCTTTGATCCCATATAATTTTCCCTTTTCTTTTAAACATTAATACGAGTAGGTTTACCTAAAATGTTCTTAAACTTTTTCTTTTTTTTTAAACATTAATAAGAGTAGGTTTACCTAAAATGTTCTTAAACTTTTGCACCACTTTGGTCCAACTGACGCAGGACTGTGTTCTGGCCAATTTGGCAGTCTTAACATTCTCGCCACTCTCATCGCTATCGCCATCGGCGTCTCCCTCGAGATTGGGCTCGGCTCCTTGCTCGATATCCTCGCCGGCGGCAGTGTCCTGCGACTGGTGATCCTTTTTGGGGCGGGTGCTGGGTATTCTATCGTAATGGTTGTCGTGGCTATGACGGCGCATCTTCACGGCCTCATCTGAGCCGGCATCCACATCCTCCTCCACATCCACCACGAGATGCTGCTGCTGCTGATGATGGTGATGAATGGTGGTGGTGCTTGGTGGATTGGGTACCGAGTTATGTTTGCTCTTAGAGCTAGTATCACAGTGTGGTTCATCCTCTTTGGTCATACCATCCTCCACGGCCCCGCTGGCCGCCAGATTGGAGGCGACGGTGGTGTTGCGCTTCTTCCGCTGCTCCTCACTCCGTCGCTCCCGCTTCATCAGCTGCTTCTGTTGCTTGGCCAGGAGTTGCTTCTGTTTCCTGGCAAACTTCTCCCTTAGCTTGGGACTGCCAAACTCATCCAAATAATACATGGTATCCTGCAGTCCATCCTTGCGATTGATCAGCTTCGAATCAATGTGTGAATCCTCGCTGATCTTGAGCAGGGGAAAGTAGATATGCCCATCGGTGGCCAAGCTCTTGGCATCCCGTCGCCGGGCCAAGGCAGCTGCCACTGTTAGTTGAGCCTGATCTGGAGGCAGGAGCCTGGAGCTGCCCTCCTGCTGCTCCTGCTGTTCCTTCTCCTCCTCCAGCTGCTGCTGTTGTTGTTTCTTCTTGAGCTTCAGTGCCTCCTCTGCCGGTTGACTGCTGCTCTTTAGGTTTATAATGATGCCAGATTGACTATCCGATTGGTTGTCCACCTCCTCAACATCATCCACATTGACACCATCATCTTCCTCATCATCAACATCGACTACATCATCATCATCGTCATCGTCATCATCCACATCCACATCGTCGTCACATATATCCACCTCATCAATGCGATCCTCCACATCGAATCCTTGAGTTCCAGTGCTATTGGTACTCTTGTACTTGATGCGACTCCGCAGGATATTGGCACTGCCAACGCCACTGACCTGGGCACTATGATGATGATGATGATCCGCACTGCCGCTGCTGCTCAGCTCCAAAGCGGATGAGGCACGCACACGACGTGGCGCCTCCTCGGGATTGATCTCTGAGCAATTGCTGCCCAGGCTTTCGCTGCTGGATTGTCCCGACTCCTTGGAGGCAGCCGATGAGGATGTATTGGAGGTGGCTGTCGTGTGATCCTTGGCTGGCTTCTTGCGCATAGCTCCTCCTCCGCCGCCTCCGCTGGTGGTACCTCCACCTCCTCCTCCTCCCCCTCCTCCATTTTCAATGCCACTATCTTGGCTGAGCAAAAGTTGCTGTCGCTGCTGCTGCTGCTGCTGTTGGCGCCACTTGCCACCGGGTGGCGCTTGGGGCAGACTCAGGGAGCCACTGCTGCTGCGGGGCGGGGGAAGCTGCAACTGAAGTTGCTGCAATTGCTGTTGCGATGCACTGGAAACAATTACACCGCTGTCCGCTGATCCCGTGGAGGTTTGTGAGGAGAAGCGTTCGCTTAGAGGGATTTTGATGGGTTGGCTAATTACGACCACATTGCTGTTGTTATTATTATTATTATTATTATTGTTATTGCTGCTACAATTATTATTTATATTATTAATATTATTGTTATTGTGGTTATATATTGTTGTATTTTGATTGGTGGACAGTTGATTTAGCGCTGGCGCAGCGCCTGCTGCTGCTGTCGCTGCCGTTGTTGTTGTTGCCATCAGGTTTTTAATTACTCTTTTTCAAATACTCTACTAGTTTTTGTTAGAGTATTAAGTTTGTGGGTTAAATTATTAACAAATGTCTCACAGTTTATTTTTATTGATTTTTTCCCTTTTATTTTGTTGGGGTTTTTATATTTTTTTGGAGCGTTTCACTCCAATGCGTTTTTAAGCGTTTTTTAGCGTTGATTTTTCGTGCTTTTCAGTCACATTGCCTGCTCTTGTTTAAATTGAAAATAAATTAGTGCTGATTTTTAAACAACAGCCGCCGTTGTTGTTGTTGCCGTTTTTGCTGCATTTTCAAACATTTTTTGGTTTATTGTCTTTTTCCTTTTGGATCTGGCTAAATTTAGCTCAGCATTTTGCGTTTCTTAATTTGATTTTGTTATTTTTTGACACCACAAAAAAAAATGAAAACAAAAAGCACACACACACCAAACACAGAGAAGATATAGAGAGAGATGTGAGATTGGATATTTCGCTATTTTGCCTGACTTTCTGTCTTGTCTGCTTTCTTCAGTTTTATTTATTTATTTTGATTTGATTTGATTTTATATTTTTTGCGTGCAACATGTCCGTCCGCCTTTGAGGTTGCGAATGAACTGAGAACTGAGAACTTGGAATGCGAGAAGCCGAGATATTGAGAAACTGAGGACACTGAAACTGAAACTGAAACAGAGAGAGTGAAACACTCAGCATATGGGGAGAGTACGTTCCAAAAGTTATTATCGCTGACGCACACGGCGTCCCAGCGGGTCAGCGGAACGAACGGCAAATGGAACACTACTCAAGAGAGAGAGAGAGAGCGAGCGAGATGCGACTGAGCAGAATGCGTCGACGCTTTTGGAACTGAAACCAATGCCTCCTGTAGAACGGAATGAAATGGAATGGAATAGCTGCAGTTTCTGGAGCGAGAGAGAGAAGGCAATATCTGCTGATAAGCTTCCGTAGCCTGCTCTTATTCTTGCCTTAATCTTATCAGCACCTTAAAATGGCTTTTTATCGGCCAAAAAACAAAAGTAAAACAACAAAAATAATAAAAGAAAACAACAACAACAATAATAGGGTCGGAGAGCCCATTTTATTTATGTATGCATATGGCTAAGTTGTTTTTGTTTTTCAGCTTAATTTACAACTGCACACATTTATCAGGAGCGTTAAAGTGCGAAGGTGTTAAGTCAACAAGAATATAAATATAAATTAAGCAACTCATGAAAAACAGCTGATCGGCTAAAAATAAGAAACAGCTTAAATGGTATTAAACCGAATATCACATCATACATATAATAGACAATACTAAAATCAATATCCTTAGCATATTAATGAAAAATTTCCAATGGCAGACAAGCAATTTAATCTGCGACGTCAAATTAATGTTAGTACTATTTACCGACTGCGGCAATATGTACTTTGCATTTTATCCCCTCCACCCAACACTAATGGAATTCAAACAGGATAATGCCGCACTATGGAACACTTCAGAAGAAAAAGGGGAATGAACGAAGGACCACAGGAGAATGATAGGTGATTCGAGGAGAACGCGATTTCGAGGACAACGACGCATTACCGCAAATTAGAGGAGTGTCCCAAGCAAGTCAAAATGAATTGAAATGAAATGGAAGAAGCTAAAAGTACCACCTAAAGAACAACGGTAAACGTATAGAAGGTAAACATTAACAAAAAAAACACACAAAATAGAACACACACCACACACACACATATTATATTATGGTCAGCAGACGACAGTGCGCAATAGACCAAAGACGAGACCCATAAAGGCAACAACAACAACACAATTATTGCATGAGTCGCCGGGTCTCTCTCTCTCTCTCTCTCTCTCTCTCTCTCTCTCTCTGTCTCTGTCTCCGTCTGTCCCTGTCCCTGTCCATTTCCCCCTCATATACGGTTTCAGGTTGAAAGCGGTTTCCCGACGATGACAAGTGTGGTAAAGTGGCTGGTAGGGGAAAAGAGGGCCAGAATGGGGCATTACGGAGGGTGCTTAGGTCAGTTTGTTGGCTTAGTTGGTTAGGTCATGCAATGTCGCAGAAACAAAGGAAAAAAAAGGAAAATAATGATGGAGAAGAAGCAAAACGAGAAGAACCCACACCCTCGAACTACTGGGGGGTTGATCCAACAGAGCAAACTAAGCCATATTCCGCCACACAGGGTGCTGGCTCCTTCCAGAGCTTGTTTCTCTAAGGGAACATATGTTCGTTAAGGCAAATTGGTAGGTATTCCACATTTACTGAAGTACAAAAGGACCAAATTTAACCAACAAGCACACCCTGTTGGTCTTGCTGAAGCTACAGGATGTTTCCTGCACATCTTAATCAACAGGGCTCTTCAGGAGCTACAGGGTGCATCCTGCACAACGTGTCTTTTGCTTTCAATTAAATGATATATATATACATAAAGATAAAAAGAATAGATATTTATGGTAAATATCCAAACAAATAAAACGAAATTGGTCTCTTTGTGGAGGCATTATAGAAATGCGTCGCAAATTATGACTTGCAGGTAAACATGTCAATAATCCACGCCCTTTCACCTTTCTATGTGCCTGCTCAACCAACTAACTAGAATTTTAAATCATCTCACTGAACAATTTTCTCCAGACCCTTCGTGTCGTGTTGTGTTGCTGCCCTCCATCAACTTTTTCAAACTTTCTTTGGTTAACCCATGCGCGACTTTGACTTTGACTTTCGCCTTAACTGACATTTTACCTTGACGATTATTATATAGTATAAACGCCCCAAACGCTAGTTGAAGCAACCCTTTTTTTCTTACCACCACTGCGGTATTTGCTTTTATTTTTATCGACTTGGCATTGAGCTTAGACTAGACGCAACCCCATTATTCCCTTTCTCTTCTCTAATATCTAATACCTATAAGTTATTACAAATACCCTGTCTTTGAAGGGGACACTAAACGTTTTAGGATAAGAATGTACTGAATGGAGAAAATATAGCTTATGAAAGAATTTCTTTTAAGTAAATATTAAGAAGAAACTAAAGCATGTTGGTCTAATCTATTAAGACGTTTTTAAAGACATTCTAAACATGGTAAAAGTAAAATAACCATGAGGTTTTCTTATATCTAATCATTTTAAAGAGTATTCCTCAAGACTTTCTCGGCCATTTCCCATTCTCGTACAGCAATTATTTGTGGAATGAAATTTTCATTTGGCGCCGGGTCCGGAGACTTGCACTGTTCTCCACGTGCCGGGGATCCAGTTTCGAGTCGACTCCAATTTGAATAGCAAATGAGCTGGGGCCGGGCTTAAGTGCTTGGGCTTCCGAGTTGAGGAGGCGGGCCCCCTTTTGGGGGTCTGAGGAAAAAGGGGAATACTGTGTGGGTCTCTTGGTTGTTTGTTTGGTCTTGAACTTGCATGTCGATAATGCGCCCTGACATTTACCGCGGTATTAACAATGTAATTGCCCCAAGACATGTTTTTCCTGGTTATTTTTACAGCTGAGAATTATTGATTCAGAATGTTAACATTTGTTGTGTTCCACAAGATTCCCACTCGTTCCATGTCTTTGTATTTTTTTTGGGTCTAGGCTATGAAACCGAATTGAAACTAAAAATAAAATTACGAGACGACGCGGCATCGAAAGTGAAATGAAAAACAGCAAATAAACTAAAGAGAATGCACTAAAAATAAAGACCCAATTTGCAGGGAGACCCAAAAATACATCATTTCGTTTCAATTCCAACGTCTCGCCGCCGCCTGTTGCTGTAAGAGCAGCGCCATCTGATGGCCGCCCAGTGAAAGTGAAAGTGAAAACTATAACAAGAGCATAGAATATAAATTTAATTGGGGGGAAAAACAAAAGAAAAACTGTGAAATATTTACATTTCATTTATGTCGAAAGAAGAAAGGAGAATGAAAAAGAATGGCCGCAGGAAAATTGTGCTTATATTTGCCAAAGACTCGAGGATACCAGAAGAATACAAAGGAATACCAACAAAGAGTAAGCGCCGCGGGAGGCACATTCATTATTTATATATAAAATACAAATACAAATAAAAATAGGAAATAAAAGCAGCAAAAAATTAAGCCCAAGAAGCAGCTTGTGCACTGTTATCGCTATCTCCTGCTAATGACCGATGCGGCAATCAATAATTAGAGCTGACCAAGGCAATTAACCCATGACAGACCGCACATCATCATCATCATCACATCACACCAGCGGCGATCAACGACCAAAGGCAGGCATATGACTTCGATAGCAACAGCTGGCTTCGATTTTAGCGATAACGATAACGATAAACCACCTTAAACCGGTTGTCAAAAAGAAAAGAAACAAAGGAAAGATTTGTTGATCACAAATATCTTTCCATTGTTGACACTCTTTAATCTGGTTTTATTCCTATTTATCCATTCAAAGATTAAAACTGAATAAACACAGTGTCTATCATTATTTACATCAAGATAACAAAGGCTTTATTAGTCATTAAACATACTATCATTCTTCAAGTGGAAAATATTTAATACTAATCTGTTTAAGCTCTATAAACATTGTTTTATAATGTAACCATAGATATGGTGTTACTATTAACTCGACCTCTGCTGTGTTTGAATGCAATTTTCCTGGCCAATCGATAAACAGAGAGACAATGAGAGAAGCAACAAAGGGAAATAATGGCACACAAAGACCGTTGAAATGGTGAAAAGCCAAAGAAAGAGGCGCCAGCTAGCTATGGAAAATCATGCATTGAGGGGGTTGGGTGATGCAGAGTCAGAGGAAAAACCAAACGGAAAGGCGAAACAAGTAAAAATTTAGGGGGAAGAGTTAAGGAGATGGTGGTAAAAGGCAACACGCGATTAGTGAATGCCCAACCCCGCAAAATAACACACCAACTCACACCTCCTGGCACAACTCACAACTCACACCTCACACCTACCACCCACCGCCCACACAACACACACACTTATTGTATAACGGTTTCATGTTCCACCAAATGGCAACAAAAACTGGTAAGAACCGAACAGTAAGTTAACATTTCTAAGCCAACAACTGCGTCTTGAGAAACACGTTAAAGCCATGGTAAATATTCGATAATCAAGCAAATATGTTATAGAAACTGATAAATATAAGTAAATAATATATATTTCTAAATTAAAA